ATTTCTTTTTATGTTTGTTAAGCTAGCGCTTGTCATGTTATGCGACGAGACGATGGGGACATAAACCAGAAAGTGTTAAGAATGAATGTAGATGGCTACAAAGGAAGAGGAAGACCGAAGAAGCTATGGATGGATTGTGTGAAAGAGGATATGCTTAAGAAAGGAGTGGTTTCAGATATGACGGCTGATAGAGATGTATGGAAGAGCAGCACATACTATGCCGACCCGCCATAAGGGATAAGGGCAAGTTGATGATGTTGAATTAACCCAATTAGTTCGTGAGTTAGAAATGTCACTAAAATAATCAATATCTCGCAGAAAATCTGGGATCATAATTTAAATTACAATCATTAATATCATTTTCAACACTCAGATACGTTCCAGAGATACTTCATTACAGATCGATGGCATATCATTCAGAATTTAACTAAACATTTTAATTTAAAAGCGATCGCGTTTGTAAAAAAAAAACAATAATTTGTAAAGAAACACTATTCCTTAACCTCCTAGAACCCCTCTTTAGAAAGTTTACCTCAATTATTTACGTTGCAAGCTGCATTAACTACAGTTCTCAGTTGCAATGCACGTAAAGCTTAACTGTTGCCATACCACGATCACACAGAAGACAGGCGTAAAATGAATATTTCACTGCGTTTCCAATATTAGTAATGCTTCCCAACCGGTAAGTTCTAGATTGATTCATAAATTTTGTACAATTAAGTATCCGCATTCTCTTTTAACTTGCACCACCCAAGCTGTACCTATCACTTACAAAGGGTCTGATCCTCGGGCAATCAATCATGGTCGTGCGTCGAGCCGACGATATTAATTTTGTTATAATGATGATTGTGTTGATAGCTCTTGTATTTATTACGAGACTAGCTTTCGCCTGCGACTCCGTCCGCGTGTAATTAAAAAAACAAATGTGTTTTTCCAGACCTACCTTCCATCGACCTTCCGTCTTCTACATCTATACTAAATTTCATCGAAATCCGTACAGCCGTTTAGGCTTCAAACTCTAACAAACATCCATCCATCTAAACTTTCGCATTTATAATATAAGGATTAGTATGATTAGTATGATTAACAATTACCATTACATTATATACTTAAGTTATTTTCATATTTCCACCAATAAAATGACTTCGGAACATATTTTGAAGTTCCGATCGTGCAATTTCATATCCAAAATATAAATAGGAATAGAATCTAGGCATAGACGGAGTTTTGACTTTTTAAAGATACATTACTAACTACTAGTTATATGTGATTTGAATTATTTTAATTCCCAACTCATAATCTTATCTTACGAATATTGTAAAAGCGTCCAAACTGCTGAACAGATCTCAACGAAATTTGGCATAGAGATAGTGAAGGAACATAGAGGCTACTTACTTTTTTTTTTTTAATTCCACGCAGATAAGTCGTCGGCGAAAGCTAGTTAAAAATAATAACTCGAAACTATATATCACGCAAAACGAAACTTAGCAAAGTCCTTTGTTCTAAGAAAGGAACCGTTAAATGAAAGCATTTCCTTTCTTACCAAAAAAACTCGACTCGTCCAGCGCTGCCAAATTTAATGATGCGATCCACGTTTTCGCCTCGCTTTGTTTTTTAAATCGTTCGTGACTAAAATTGTCCCAGCAATTTCTAGCTTAACATTTTCTGTATAGTTTAAA